CGTGGTTGATATTGCAGACAAGAGCAGGGCACGTGGTCGTCATGTTAGCGAACTGAATTGAAAAATGAATCGCTGCCGGACTCGTCGCCCTTTGAATGCGCGCCAAATATCGTTTGTATGTCTCGACACGACGCGGTCGCATGGCCTCTAACACTGTAAACTCTGGTTCTCAGCTGTAAACCAGACTGAACGTGGGAGACTCCACACTGAATCTTCACTCGTGGCAGGTGATTGCGTTGCTCTCCCCCGCTCGCGCAGCGCCATGTCCTCGTGGATGACATCCCGATTTCGTTGCCGTCGCTGTACGTACAACTTCCCAAGATCGTCCGGTTCACGTTTCTCAATCAAATGTGCAAGGCAAAAGATATTTTTTGGTTGAGCATCAATGCATGGTCTAAAAATATGTATGGAATATTCATGTTCCTGTTCATAATTGCGTTCAATATATTCCAATACTACAAACACGTGTCCAGGATGGTTCACGGTGACTTGTCCGCGGCGCCTCCAGACGCTCTTGGCATGAGGTGGCCACCGTCGAAAGCACAACAACGACGTGTTTGTCTTTTGCGTTGTTGACGACGTCTCTGATCTTGTGCCGGCGCGTTCCCTTGATGTTCGCCTCAAACAAATGCTTGGTGCTGGAACGTGCGAACGTTTGGCCTGGGTTGGACAGCACACTTGGCAATTTGACGCTTGATCGCGAGACATCCAGCAACGAGCGGTGTAGACAAAGATGCACAAGAGCCACTGTTGCATCGGCCTTCGTGCGCAAGGCAGACAGTAAACGCATCAAGAATATACTGTCAAGGTGCCGTGTACGATGGGCAATCCTCCTTTGCCCATCGACACTGCATCAACGCCAATGGCGTCAACTTGGATTCACAGTTGCGTGGTGGGTACCTGCTGTCCTGCCGAGACGGAGAGGTGGCCATTTCGTGGAATCACTCGGTCGTTAAACGTGATCCCAAAATCGTGTTCGATCGGCGGCTGGGACCGATTTACGCTGACACACTCGCTATGTGGTGGTGCAAAGAAAGAGCTTGCCCCAATGCGGAATTAACAACCCTGCGTCGTCGGTTGTGGAGGTGTCCAACCACCCCGATCGAATGCTTCGTCGTGCATGGAATATTCGCCCAACAGGGCCCACTCGTCGACGAACGACAAAATCGAGTCAAACGACTGTTGCGCGGCTGGCTGTCCACCGATATTCCCGTGGCTCCACTTGCTGCCCCCCATTTTATTTTTCATGTTTCGTGTGTGAAGAGTGTTGTGAGGATTCGAACCATCATTGCGATCGTGTGCCGAGCACAGCTCCACGCTGCACTGGCGGGCGCGTCGACCATGCTGGACGCAAAACCGACGGGCATGGGCAAACTTCACGCAACCTTCGACGAGACACTGCCGTTTGAGTGGTTTCGGGCCGTGTTTGCAGCAAAAGCCATGGCTCCTCGCATTGCCTTGACAGCCATGAGCTTGGCACTGCCGCTTGCCGCCGTGCTTGACACATCGTTTTCGAGCGTACACTTGGTTGGTGCACATGTCGATCATGCACATGGAGCGCATGCGGTGAAACTGGCACTTGTCGTCGTGGAGAGCAGGCTCCATGCAACGGTTGAATTGGCACACGAGAACGTTCGTGGCCTCCATCGATGGCGGCCGCAAATGATAGAGTGAGGCCGTCGTGGCGAATTGATTCCGTTGACGTGCCTCCGCTTTACTGTACACGAGAGTAGCTCGCAGCACTCGCGAAACGTCTCGCCTTCTAAACAGGACCATGTCGTACTGGCGCCACCTTGAAGCCCCCGACTGGCTGTGCGATGACATGGCGTTTGAAGGAGCCCGAGAGCTACCAATATGCACTCATGACCCAAGTCGAGCGCGCATCCCAGTTGCGAACTCTGCCCCTACTTCTTGTGTGCCTCGGTCGATTTGAACGGAACCACAAAGAACGCACTTCGTCGTAGCTCACATTGCCGCGCCCGCCATGCCCACTCGACGGGCAGGAACCAAGCATCCTAAGCTAGCGTACACATGACCAAACAAATGCTAGCTGAGTGGCAACGATGTTTTGCAAGCAAGAGAAACCAATCGACACTTCAAGGTGGTAGCGTGTGCCTCATACCAAAACGATCGCTCGTCTCTCCGCGCCAGCGCAAAATCTCTGAGCGTGAGATGGTCGGTCCACCTCGTGACTCAGTTTCAAGCCAACCTTGCTGCGTCGAGCGCAACGTCGGAATCGCGGCTGCTGGATGGAGACGTTCCAGGTTGTTTGCGTGCCAGGGACAATCCCGCCGCCGACGAGAATGTGCTGCAAAACTCGAGGAAACGACTGGGAAACTTCACGGAACGACAGTCCATGCAGACTTGTGGCGGAGAGGTACTCTATGGCTATGGGGCGTGGCCGCCAACCCAAACGAACCCTTTGCCGAGAACGAAAGGGTTCAAAGTTTCGGGACAAGCTCCAGACAGGTTCCACCCTCCCCAACACTTGCGAAGGGGGTCGCGCGGAGTGCGTTCGTCGGCCGCCATTCCGCTTCGTCGCGGGGGGTGGGGCGTAGCTGTATTCCGTACGAAAGGCCGCCCGCCCCCCCACCTCTTCTCTCTGTTTCAGACTGCTGCTTTGCACACGGGTCAGGACCATCGCATGACAATCTTGGGGCTGCTGCTCATGAGTAGGTCACCAGTCTAGTGCACACGATGCGTCGATTTGTTGGTGTTGCAAAACGTGATTGAGATTTTTCTGCCACGATCTTGTGCACGGTGGTTGGATATGGCGAATTTGGCAATGCTGACATCGTGCCGACTCTACGTGCTCGACGCGTCGGTACGTTGCCCACAGCGCTCGTGGAATGACAATGCAGGGCTCCATCATCCATTGCAAAGTCAACGATACGTCGCTTCGAAACGCGGCCGTGGCCCAGTCAACGCTCTCCATGGAGCATGCAATCGCCTCGATGGTCTTGGACCGCATGACGAAAACAGGTTGAATTGGCAGACGACGACGGTGGTGGCATCCATCGTTGGTGGCGGCAAAGGATACAGTGACGTCTCTGCTGTATCCATCTGTATATACGCCCCAAGCGCAGTCGCCCCCCCAGAACGTTCTCGCGTTCAAAACTTGATCATGTCCCTATCGACACGATCGCTATGCATGGTGCGAAGCCCTGTGCATACCACACAGAAGAGGAGAAACTCCGCCAGCGGTCCCGATCCAGCTTTACGTCCATGACGACCGACATATGCGCGTTCACAAGTCGCTCCCTTGAAAGGAGGCATGAGCTGCGGTTTTGTAGCGCTGCAGGTCGTCGTGCTTGAATTCCATGCAAGCCGAGTGCGGCGACCCCACCCGTCACACAGGAGATCATCCGTATAACACGACCATTATCCGGATACTCGATGTGATTGTACCTTGCGACGACGCATCGTTGCAATGTTCCTTGCCGCTGCCTGCGGCAATGCCGTGCACGTGTACGACATTGATGGAGGCACTCTGCGTGAGGGGCGGAAGATCTGCAGCAACATTGAAGCTACATGCGCCGTGTGGAACCACAACAGTACGACGACTGATACAGCGGACCTGCACTGCGTCGTCACAGTCCCGTGTAGATCGCATCCTTGTCAGCGCGTTTGCGAACGGGCTCATTTCGATCAACTCCCTAACGAGTCAACGCGACGCGACTGTTTTCAATCTTCAAGAAGGCTCCAGTGGTGTCGACATGGTGCGTCGAATGACCTAGTCCATCACGTTGAGGGTGCGTGTGCTGCAGCGTGTGAACAGTTTGCATCTGAGCGCCGGGTCGCGCTACTTGATCAGCGGGGGCACAGACCGCGCGGTTCGAGTACGTTCTGCTCTCTAAACGCATGACTTCCACGTTGACGCGTTGGGATGCGTTCAGGTATGGGACCTTAAGCGCCAACAACTCAAGCATGCATTCTCCGCCTGCAACAGCGCAATCCGAAGCGTCACCTTCACAGGTCAAACCGACGAGTTTATCGTGGCGGGTTGCGAGAGGTATCGATTTTGCACGTGCGCATCCATCCTTAACGTGTCTTGCAGCGGGGACATCTACCTATACCACACCCAGCAAGGCATTGCCGCCGGCATGTGCCGCGATCGGGAGGACGTAAGTAGCGCGTTCGGTAACGGCCTCTTCTTGCTCCATTCGTTTTCAGCCACGGCAACTCTTCCTCGTGACGTGTGGCCCTTCACGTGTTCTGCATGGTTGTGTGCGATTCTACCATGGTTGAATGTTGTGAGATCGGTTGTACTTATTGCACTTGTGTTTTGATCTGAATTTCGACCAACTTGCGCGCAGTCTCTGGATCCGTTGTGCCTTAATGCAGAGCTTGCGTTCCTGGTTGCAGTATGGTGTGGTGGTATGGTCCTTTCAGGGCTTTCCCACTCCATGGTCCATGAATATCGCGTCGTCTGCATGTAGGCGAGTGCCATTCAAGCCGTCCAGTCGTCCACTCACCCGTTCGTACGGAACAAGCTGGGGACGGTGCAAATGTCGGGCACGCTTCGTCTGTGGGACATTACAACGGCATCGCAAACGTCGAGTTTTCCGCGCTTGGTACGTTGTTTGTCGGGGCCGCTCCATGGCGCCACCGATTTTTTCTTGCACCGACGTCGTGCTGCAAATCATGCGTGTGGATATAGCATTGGGCGCCATCCACGTGCATTGCGTTCTCCCCCGTGCACAAACACTTGGTCGCGACGGGCGGCCTCGACAAGCGCGTTGTGTTTTGCGATATGGGCGTGCAAAAGTACTCGTCCTTTCGAGACATCGCGGCGACTGACCTTTTGGATAGAGAAATCAACTGCCTGGAATCACCGTATGCCGTCACGACCATGTCCATGCATGCCAATGGCCACCTCATCACGACGGGGACATCTACAGGTGAGTCGCTTCGGCAGTTGGCGCTTGACTGTTGTCGCCCGGCATGGGTGAACTGGAATGTGATAAGGCGTTTAAGCCTAAGTCGGCGGCGATCGTGCACACATCGTCCTTGCTGGAATACCTGCCATTCGTTGCCGCGATTGTGTGCATGTCCAAGTGACTGGAATGTGTTTGTCGATGTGGCGGCCGTGTCGGCATTTCTTCGGTTTGATGCGCTCGTCCGCACCAGCCGCCTCGACGTGCCGAGTCGAAATGTTTGCAAGGACCAGTTGTACCTGACCAGCCGTCCATCCCAGGGCACGTCTTGCTGTATGACTTGCGCGGTGCCACCAAACCTCTCGCGATTGTCGAGCCGTGCGGAGCGCAGGCCGCAGCAGGAGCCGCCATGCCGTCGGTGCAGTGGATTCAATTCAGTCAAGATCGGGTAAGTAGGCGTGCATCCGGCGCCCGGCATACATCCGTGGCCACGACGAGTTGCGATTTTGAGTTGGAATCCACCGAAACATGACTAGATGAAAGACGGTGATGCGTCGATGGCGTCGTCGTCCAGCGCATCCATGAAGAAAGCCAAATCGTTCCACATGCAAACGCTGCAAACGTCGCTGCTCAATTTGGTCCCGTCGTCAGCGTCGTTGGATGGCGCGAGTGACGACCGGCTCAAGTCTTCGCTGTCGACCAAAGGCCGCAGCGCCGCCTTGCCTTTGGCGACCTTGGCAGGGCTGTCTGGCGCAGCCCCAGTCGGAAAACTTAGCGACCCGCTGCCATCCACCTCCGATCCGACCCCTGCCAACTTGACGGCGGTAAGATGTCGCTGGCCTTGTCGATGCGATGACGAGTCCACCTACAGGGCGAAGCGTCCTCTGAGAGCATCGCGTGGCTACGGCAAGAGCTGCATGACCTCCGCGATGGTCTGTCGGAGCAAATTCAACTTGTTCACTTGGAAGTCCTTCGCCAACACCAGACCCAACAAGTACGTCATGCTTTGCCTCTGCAGCAACCTGCACGTATGCGACGCCTCGTAGACAGAACTGGCCAACGCAATGCATGAGCTCAAGCTCCAAATGGCGCAACTCCTCGCGGAAAACCAGCACTTGCGCCGAGAAAACGAAAGGCTCAAACATATATTCTAACGAGAACTATGTCTCGCTGAGATTGTCTTGACATGGCATCAGCGCTGCAAGTCGATTTCCCGCCTCCCAACTCTATTCAATCTGGTGCATCCCTGCTGTTGTGTTCGCCGGGAAGCTGTTGCATGAACGGTGATCGGTAGTTGTTCGCGTAGCGCTGCGATGCTTGCATATTCCTCGAGTATGTCAACCGCCTTTAACGCCGTCGCACTGCGCCGAGAGAAGGTATACGCCATGCTGGTCGACATGGTTAGTCTATCGACGTCGCACGTTGCTTCCTGTAGAGCAGCCTGTCGTCGCTGCATGAGTCATGGAGCGCGCTGCTTTTCATCTACAAATTGCTCACACTGCTCGTAAACACGACCGATTACGCGAGTACCCTTCCTCGCCGTCTTCACCTGTGTCTGCGCCACATCGCCATCCTGTAGCTTGTGATACCGTGGAGAACGGTCTATTCCTGTGGGCTGGTGGTAGCGTACCTGCTTGGGAACCGGAAGGTCACGGGTTCAATCCCGTGAATCCTCAAGCTTTAGGAGGAAAAGACTAATGGCCGTTAGTCCCATCTAGTCCCCAATTGGGGACTAGGCGGAGGGGTAAGAGGGATTGTCTGATCATGTGCCTTACATATGGGGAATAAAGCGAGCAGTAGCGCCCTTAGTCAGACCCCCACTAGTACCAACTAGGTACTAGTACCCCGGAAAAACCTGTCGTCATAAGTGTAATGAATCTGGGCGAAGGTGATGGGGAGCAAAATAGGGATTACCTCTGCCTGGAATAGGAAAATATCCTACAAAAAGGACAGTGGAATGTCTAGGCTCGCACATCAGATTGTCTTCACAATCGTGGAGAACGGTCCGGATAAACAAACAATTGTCCGGTTGTTATGGACGGTGTCCGGATATACATTCATTATCCGGCGATCAGAGCCCATTGATTTTGACGTGATGCGCCACACGCGAATTGACCATCGAGATGAGCGAGGAGGTGCTGCTGTTCCTCGCGCCAGCGATCAAGTACATCTTGGAGCTGCTCTTCGACCCGCTCGTGTTCAGCGTGATCGCGGTTTCCCTCTTCCTGTACAAGTTGCTTCCGACGACGGACCCTGTCTTGCCTTTGGTATGTTGCAACGTATACACACGATGCGACCCACCTCATCGCGGCGGCCCGCAAGGACGATGCTCATGTGTATACGTGCGTGTAGAGCCAAATGAAGAAGGCGAATTTTCAAGCGCGGTCGCATGTATTCTCCACGGACTTGGTACGTCCTTTCCGCGGTGGCAATCACATACTGATGGGACGGCATGCAGAAACTCGTGGTGGGCAGCAAGACCGGGCCTGATGGCAAGACCCCCGTGTCCGGCAACGTGGCGGGTCGTCAAGTATGGCGTCCCAAAGGCGACGTTGTCGAGTTGCCTGCATTTTCCGCGAGTGAAAATCCGAACGCAGGCGACAAATTGCTGCGGAAACTGCTCGTCGAGGGCAAAAAAATACCTTCGGGTGGCAACGGCGGCAATATTGACAAGGCGCTGCGCCAAGCGGTGGACTACTACAAGTTATTGCAAGTACGTGGTGTTCCATGTCCTCTCATACTTGACCTTCGTCGCGACGACGGGACTCGTGCAACATCCCAACCTTTCCACCTACCACGCGAAAAAATCCCCGCTCATGTTCAATTGCCGTAGAGCGAAGATGGATCGTGGCATGGCGATTACGGTGGCCCGATGTTCCTCCTACCAGGTACCTCTCATACTTGGATTCAGCGGCGTTTCCATCCATCTAAATCAATCGTCTTTTTTTGTCAGGGCTGGTGATCACGTCGTACATCACGGGTCACGACTTGGGCAAGTCGGTCAGGGACGGCATGATTGTATACCTGCGCAACCACCAGCAGTACGACGGTGGGTGGGGCATCCACATCGAAGAAGGGTCGACGATGTTTGGCACCGTGTTGAACTACGTGGCGCTGCGCCTTTTGGGCGCGGCGGCCGACGACGAAGCGTGTTTGGAAGCGCGGACGTTTATCAAACACCACGGCGGTGCAACGTTGGTTCCGTCGTGGGGCAAGTTTTGGCTTGCCGTGCTCAACGTGTACGACTGGCGCGGCGTGGACGCGTTGCCGCCCGAGATGTGGCTCCTCCCGCGGTGGTTACCGTTTCATCCGGGCCGGACGTGGGTCCACTGCCGCATGGTGTACCTTCCCATGAGCTACCTCTACGGGATTCGATTCCAAGCCAAGGAAACGCCGTTGATTCAAGCCATTCGCGACGAAATCTACACGACGCCGTACCAGAGCGTGAGCTGGCGCAACGCCCGCGGCGCGTACTCGAAAATGGACGAGTACCACACGCCGTCCCCGATCATCCGCACCCTCAATTACCTCCTCTCCTGGTACGAGCTGCTCCCGACCGTCACGTCCTTGCGCAAGCACGGACTCGAATACACACTTGCTTTTGTCCGGGCTGACGACGAAGAGTCCAACTATTGCAACATTGGCCCGGTCAACAAGATGATCAACATGCTTGTCCAGTGGGTCGTCGATCCAGACTCGGACGAATTCAAGCGGCACGCCCAGCGCGTCGAAGATTACATTTGGTACGTGGCCGACTGATGGCGGAAGGACGCGGCATGACTGGATCGACGTCGCCAGGGTGGCGGAAGACGGGGTGAAGATGCAGGGCTATGTTGGTTCGCAAACGTGGGACTCGAGCTTTGCCGTCCAAGCGTTTGTCGATGCTGGCGTCGCCGCCGACCCTGCTTTCCAAACTACGTTCAAGCTTGCTTATCGTTTTCTCACGGAAGCTCAAAACGTGCACGATCCGAAGGATGCTGCGACTTGGTGGCGCCGGTACGTGCGGATCGTTTGGCGGCATTTTTAGACGTGGCTGACGCTTGGCGGGTAGCGTTCAAAAAGGCGGGTGGGGCTTTGGCATCGCGTCGAATGGTTACCCTGTGTCAGACTGCACGGCGGAAGCCGTGAAAGCGCTCTTGTTGATGGAAGAACGCGCCAACCTTCCTGCCTTCCCGGACGACCGTCTACGCGATGCTGTGGACTTTATCCTTGCGCTGCAAAACTCGGACGGTACGGTCTGTACATCACGAGTTGTTGCATTATCCATGCACGCCATCAGGTGGGTTCCCGCCCTACGAACGCAGTCGAGGCTTTGACTGGTACGAACACTTGAACCCGGCGGTTGTGTTTGGCGCCATCATGCACGACTATTCGTACGTCGAGTGCTCGTCCTCGTCGCTGTCGGCGCTTCAGGCGTTCCACGCTCGGCACCCGACCTACCGCCCCGAAGCAATCAAGCGCGCAACAACCAAGGCCGACACGTTCATTCGGTCGCTGCAGTACCAAGACGGAAGCTTCTTTGGCAAGTGGGGGGTGTGCTACACGTACGGCACGATGTTTGCCATCAAGGGGTGCGTCCGCCGACTCGTTCCAGTGAATCCATTGTCAACTTTTGTAGCATGCGCGCGGCGGGAGCGTCCGACAAGGACGAAGATGTCCAAGATGCCGTGTCGTTCCTAGTCAACAAGCAGCGCAACGACGGTGGATGGTCCGAGAGCTTTTTTGCGTGCTCGACTCGTCGATACTTGGAAACTCCGTCGAGCCTCGTTGTCAACACGGCATGGGCGTTGATCGGTACGTGTCTCCGCAACGTCCCTAGACATGTATCAATGATGTTCGGTCGTCCAGGTATCATGAAAGGCATTGAAGGCGGCGACCCCCAAATGCACGTCAAGGAATGGGACGCCGTCAAGAAGGGCATTGAGGTGAGACGTGGTCTTGCGCCATGACGCATGGCAGCTCATGCATCTGGACTAGTTTTTGGTTGCCAAGCAACTGCCATCGGGAGATTGGGCGCAAGAGCGCATCAGCGGCGTGTTCAACCGAACGTGCGGCATCACGTATGCCAACTACCGCAACATTTTCCCGATTTGGGCAATTGGGCTGTACCAAAAGCTGCAACGCACCAAGTAAACCCAGTCG